CGGGGAGGTATGCAGATCTGAGGTCAATTATTACTTAGTCTGATGATGTGATAAATAATAATCCAGTCAAGGCGCAAAGAGGGGTTTTGAAGAAACCTCGCAGTTAATATAGAGTAAAAGTGCTCAGGTGCACTGACTCAACTTCCCTCAACATAATAATAAAAAGAAGTATATTTATTCAAAATATATTCAAAAAAAAAAATAACGCATCGACAATTCCTGTTTTAAGCTATATATATTTTTTTGAAATCAGAAGAATTTTTTAAAGTAGTATGTGATAATTAATAAAAGATGGCATAAACGCTATACTCTACAGTCAAATCGGTAAAAGGGCGGCTTTTGTATTTTGAATTATAAAAAGCACCAAAATACTGGAAAGAACTACCTATAGTGAATATAATGTGAACTAATTGATGCGGTTGAAAAATTTCAACCAAAATTCAATTATTGCCTGAAATGTTTAAGCCAAGATAATGAATGTACCACATCAAATTTTAATTATTACAAATAAAAATTGTTTAGTTCTTTTTTAATTTAATTTTAATTTAAACTGAAAATAGGAAAGATATTTGGTTCCATTAAAGATATGATTACCGAAATCAAGATCATTAGAAGTAAAAAACTATATCATTCTACACAAAAACGTGAAAATGTTCGGATTGTATTGAAATAAAGGTGTTTCTACTGAAATATATTAAGTCGAAGTTTGTTTATAAGTATTTTTTTTTGCTTGAACACCTTCTAGACTTATTGAATAATGGGTGTAACTTAACAAAGATTGTACTTTTATATATCTCAATTCAAAATATATAAGTATTTTTGTTTTTGTTGAAAAAAATGTATACATATAACATAAAAGCATATAAGATAATTAAATATTGTATGGAAATATATAAACTTAATTATATATATTATGCTATAATACAAATAATCGGCATATAAATATGTATATATATATAAATATGTATATGTATAATCGACTTTGTTATTTAATGTAATTACGTATCATAATTAGAAAAAAAAAACAATTATTACACTCTATAAACTTTATTACATTAATTAAATATTCAAAGTAAGGGATTGGGACAGTAATAAGAAAACAAAAAGGCAACAATAAAAATTAAAATAATGCCAAAATTTCATTCGAAAGTAAAGCATTTTCAGATTTTCAGATTTTTTTATTCGGCTAGCAAAATAGCTTAAGTAGAGCAAGAACAGAACTACACCAACATGTTTCCAAATTTAAAACACTTAAAAAAATAGAAAGAAAAAAAATAAATTAAATTAAAATAACAACAATAAAACGAATGCGTATATGAGAATTTAATGGCAATGATAGAGTTTTTGCCGCAGCCACATTCATTGCGAGAAGCGAGTTGACTCAAAGTGACTAAGCGTTGTAAGTATAGTTCTCAGCGAATATTCAATGCGCTATTAATTTATATATTATTAACATATAAAATGTTAATTAATTAACATTAAAAATGTTAATAATTCATATAAGTCTAGTCCAGCATTACCACGTGTTAATGTACATTTGTTACTCATGTTAATTCTTACATATAACATTGCATATGTTAACATGAGCTGTACAAAAAACTGTAAGAAAATATATTCTGTTATTAGAAAAGATTAGAAATAATTTTATAATTTCACTTATTTCCATTAACTTTCGTTATTTACGTTAAAATCTGTACAAATTTCAATCTATAAACATATACAAAATTATATATAAAGTTCTCTAAAATATGCTGGATTCGAGTTTAAATAAATTATTTATTAAATTTATTTAAAAAAAAGTTAACATACAATGCGTGAGATTAACAGCCGAGCAATATGAGAATTACTTGTGATAACATAAAAAGTCCCAAAAAGTAGTATAAAGTAATGATTTTGTATGATTTAATTAAATAAATTAAAATTAATATTTAATTTATTTTTAAAATCATACGTAAAAGTAAATAATTTAATTTATTATTTTTAATTATAATTATTTGTTTTAATGATTAAATTGCATTTATAAATTTTTGAACCGGCTTATTGATTAATTGTTTAAAAGTTGTATATACTTTTGAAATTAGTAGATCACTGCAGGTGAATACAGACTACAGTTAAAATATCGATAACTACAAAATAAAATATATGAAAAAAAATGAAATATATTTAAAAAAATAAAATATATTTAAAAAAATAAAATATATTTAAAAAAATAAAATATATTTAAAAAAATATAATATATTTAAAAAAATAAAATATATTTAAAAAAATAAAATATATTTTTCAAACTATATGTATATGTATATAAGCCAATTCAAAAATATATAAATAGAATTTGGTCATTAAAACAACAAATTAAAATTGAAGTAACAGAATGGTTACAGGCTCCTCGGGGAGCTATGAAGATGTGAGGTCAATTATTGTTTAGTCTGATGAAGTGACAAATAATTATCCAGTGAAGGCGTAGAGAGGGATTATGAAGAAACCTCGCAGTTAATAGAGAGTAAAAGTGCTATGGTGCACTGACTCAGCTAGCCTCAACATATTTATTTAGTTATATATGTATATATATATTGTATATTAACATGAAATCTATATAAAATATATTTATATATTTTAAATTTTAAATATATTTATTTAAAGTATATTTATTAAATAATTATTTTGTATATATATATATATAATATATATATATATATATATATATAATATATATATATATATATATATACTTTATATTATTTATATTCAAAACTATTTAAAACTATTATTTAATAGGTATCTAGTAAATAAATATATTTATATGTATATACATAAAAACCAAATAATATTTTTATAGAATTAAATAAAAAAAAATTTGATTACGAAGATCTTAAATAATGGTTCTAAGAGCAATCTGTTCGACATCTTGAAATCGCTTCTAAAAATGAATAAGTTGGGCTTTCTAAGTGCGAATTAACTGAGTAGGTTGCAATAAAAACAATGATGATACCGAGTCATTAAAAATAGAATTATTTAACAAATTATTTCAGAAAGATATTCCACATTACCGCATAATATTTTAACTGCAGTACTGACAAGTTCTATTCTCTTCCAGGTTATTTAGTAGCAACTAACAAATAAGATCTACTTGAGGAACCTCAAAAATGACATCAAATTTTTATTAACGAAAAAATTAATTGAAAAAAAAAGCTAAATAAAAAAATAGAAATAACAGAAATTTATATTAACTATTGGTTGATTGTAAATGAGCCTTCGATTCAATAGATTAGGAGGAAATAAAAGTTTTAGAAATGAAGATTAGAAATGAACAGGGTACTAGCTTCCAGCGGAGTGGAGCACTACGACTAGATTGATCTTTTGTGCTATTATACAAGTTATTTTAATATATTTGGTGAATCTTCAACAAAATTATTTTATGAGCAAATATGCTGCTAATAGTTAAGAATAAAGTTAAAAACTAACAAATCGAAAGATATCAAGCCTAATTATTTATTTTTTTTTGTTTTTTTTTTACTTTCACTTAAATAAAATACTTAAAAAAATGTTTATTAAAAATTAAAATTAAGTATTTTTTAATTTAAATAAATCAAACAAAAATCAGATCAAAAATAAAACAGTTTTATTTAAAATTAGTTTTAAATAAAAACTTTAATAAAATTTTAAAGCAAAAGAATTATATACATATGTATGTGAGAGCATAAAATTTTATTTTTTTTTAATGAATTAAAAATATGTTGAGAGATCCATTTTTTAAAATTACATTGAGTTTTAATTTGATTTTTTTTTACTAATTAACATTATTTGATATGAAAAAAAACAGAAAAAAATAAATAATGCACAATATAATAAAATTATTATAAATTATGAACAAAAAACTAACAAAAATCAAAATTAAAGTAAAAATATACATTAAATATAAAATTATTAATATTAAAATTAAAATTTTAATCAAAGTTACTTCATATGTAAGAATATATTAGAATACAAAGAAATTTTCCGTGCATATCTAGGGTGCTTTTTAAATAATTCACATTAATACTGGGGTATTAATCATTGGTTCAGGAAACGAAAAAATATCGTATCGAAGGGCAATTTTTAATATTAAACAAAATATATGATGTTAAAACTGTTATACGCGAAAAAAAACATATAATAACAGCTAAAAAAACATATAATATTTAGCTGAAAACGATCTTTATAATAATTTTTTAATAATAATTAATTTAATAATTCATTCTTAATTGAAACTATTAATGGAATAAAAATGTTTTAACATTTAACATTATATACAAATAGTTTTATACATAAACTGAATCTTTTGATTTGTGTTATATGCATTACGTTAACATTAATGTAAACTGTGTGACAATGCAACTATGACAAAAAAACGTGTAGCGCCATAAACCGCCTCTGTACATATTTTAACAGAAATGTTAGACGTGTTTTGGTAGGATAAGTGTGTACATTTCTATTATATGACTTTAAGTACAGTTACTTAGACTAATTATGATTTTTTTTTTATTGTAATAACAGTTTTTTTTTTTTGCCAAATTGTATTATAATAATGTTTTTTGAAAATATTTTTGTAATACTTCTCTTTCTAGAATTTTTAAATGATTTTTTTATACTTTTTTTTATAATAATTTTTAGTTAAATTGAAAAATTTCAAAAAATTTGTAATTTCATATTTCATATTTTTATAAAAGTAATTAAATCCTTAATGTGTTTATTTAAGTGCCTCAATAGAGCAATTCACCAAAAATGATTAGTATTTTTATATTTAATACGGTCAGGTAGGTGGTAGGTCACTGTTTTTCTATTGTATTGTTTTATTATATGTTTTTTGAAATAATTTTTTGTCACTAATTTTGAATTTTGAACATATCCTTATTACAAAATAAAAAACCATTAAAAAAAAAATGCACATTTTATTTGAATAGTTAAAATTATTAAAAAAGAAACAGTTAAAATTTTTTATTCTAAATACCGCACACACGTACCGTAAAAAAGCAATGCAAATTGTTTTAATCAAGAATCGACGCCACAAGCAACTTGTCACGACGGCCACAAACACATCTAACCACTTTAAAGCCAAAGTGCAGACTAAATTTTCTGGCTGATCAGATGCTTAACAAAACTATGCTTTTATCGCTTTTGCTGTTAATTTCACTGCTGATATTGTGCAGCACTAAAAAACACTTTTTATTCACACATACAATACACATATATATGCGTACACACATTTGTATGTATGTATGTATGTACATACATATGTACGTGCAAGCTAAAAAGATTAACACGAAATTTCCTTAGCATGCATATTATATTGATAAGACAAAACTCTTTATTATTTGATTTCTTTATCGTTTCTCTTACATTCCCTCTTTAAAGTGTTCTCAAAAATTCTTGTGTGGATCATGCGTTGGCAATGAAAAATTTATATGAGATTTGTGTGCGTTTGTTTTTGTTTTTGCTTGAAAAGGTTGGTGTTGCTGTTTAACAGCATGTTATTGTTGTTTTTATTATTATTGTAATTATTGGTGGTAATACTGATAAGATTTGCTAAACATATGTATGTATGTATATAAATATGCCACTTAGGCATTTATTAGAGAGCGGGCGGTACTTTGCTTCATGGGGAATGCATTTTATTGAAATAGAATTTTTTAGATTCTGCGGGCTTATCTTCTGTTATCAGTTAGGTCAAAAAAATTTTTTTTTTCTTTTAAGTAAAAAGTAATACTTTTTAGTTTTCTTTTTATCCGTATTCATAGTTTTTATGTATGTGTGTATGTATTTTAAATGATTTTTAGTCTAATCACTGCAATTGCATAAACTTGTGCACTTACTGATTTTTTTTAATTATTCCATTTATAAATATTTCCTTTTATTTTCTTATATGTATGTTTATATATTTTCAACTGATAACAGTGATTTAACAAGGAAGTATCAAAGTCTCTGTTCTGAGAAAGCTATTTAGTGGAACTAATAGTTTTTAATTTTGTTACTAAACACACTAAACGAACGATCACACCATAGCGATTAGTTGTGGCAAACTCAAGCGGTACAAACGATTTAATTTATAAATCACAAAAGCGAGAAAAAATTAACAATTTTAATTAATTATTTAAAAATTTTAAAAATTTCAATTAATTTAATTTATGGTAAATTCCCTTTTTACAAAGGAAACTAAATTCTTAATATAAACTATTGGTTTTAGTAGAGAGGTTTTTATCGAACAGAATTGCAATAAAATTTTTTGTTTATAATTTTTAATTAATTGAATTTTTAGCTCTTAATTTTTTTTAACAGAAAATTAACGAAACTCTAAGTTCGAATTTACAGGTCAGGTACGGCTTTGGGTTAGTTGGCTAATGAACGCTGACTTTGAGCTTCAAATTTGAGAAATTTCACCTCGTACGTCAATCCTTGATACTTGCAGTCTAAAAAAATTATTTACGAATTATTAAATACAGTCAATCTTCTATAACTCGAACTTCTATAACTCGAATTTCTCTATAATCGAATAAAAATATTGTTTTCTTTATTTTTATACATACATATGTATACACTTAACGTCCCTTTTTACGAAAAAAACTAAATTCTTTATACAGTCAAACATCCATAACTCGAACTTCTATAACTCGAACTGCTATAACTCGAACTTCTATAACTCAAATTCCTCTATAACTCGAATAAAAATATTGTCACGTGCCAATAGTAATGTGGGAAAGTGCATTCTATAAGTTGAATTTTTGTTTTAAGTATCAATCCATTTTGATATTACGGGAAGTCCCATTTTCCAAACCAAATGTTTCAATTTTTTCTTTCTTACATTGCTTTTTTGTGCAAATGCCAGTCGTGATTTACAGTAAATTAACTTCCAATGCTACTCAAGCTTTCCACCAGATGACGATATTATTGAACACTATAGTTCTAAATTACTGGATCCAATTCTAAATGCAACGGAAAGTGATGATGAAGGTTCGGTGGATATAATTGTTTATCATCCTTTCAAGAATGAAGTAGAAGACTCATTCAAAATTGATAATCACTATAAGACTTGGAATAAATTGGAATCTTATTCTACTGAAAATGAGAAGAAAAAAATGAATATCTCAAACCTAAATCTCTGAATGTTTCATTTCACTATAACTTCTGTGCTCTATTTGATTTCAAATAAATAAATATTTTAAAATATAATTCAGATATCTTTCAAAAATAAAAAAAAAAAAATTCTCTAACTCGAAGTCTCCATAAGCCGAACCTTTTCTTTGCAAAATGGTACTTCGAGTTATGGAAGTTTGACTATATAAACTATTAGTTTTTTTATCGAACAGAATTGCAACAAAATTTTTTGTTTATAATTTTTAATTAATAGAATATTTAGCTGTTAATTTTTTCACAGCAAATTAACAAAACTCTAAGTTCGAACTTACAGGTCAGGTACGGCTTTGGGTTAGTTGCAGTGGCGTAACTACAGGGAAGCAACTGGAAGCAACGCTTTCGGGCCCCCGAATTTAGGGGGCCCCACTATAAATTTTTGTATTCATTGTATTTCTTTTTAATAAATTCTCAAAAGTGGGATGAAACGTTTTTTGTTGGAATAACTTCATATTGCATTTTATGAAAGATACGTAAATTTTAAATTTAAAGTACATAATATGTATGTATCAGTACTGTATACACCATATTCCATTTGAATACCTTTATTAAAAACGGAGAAACCTCATATCCGATTGTTAAGTTTATATCATAGCTACAAGAAATAGACGTCCAATTTCAATCAAATCAAATGGTGAACAGGGTGCGCTCCCGAAAGTATGTGTATAAAGTTTTATTCGAAGAGTTCAAAAGCTGAGAGAGTAGTTTGAACTGTAAAAGTATACTGATATATACTTAATAGTATTTCCGAAGTTTCCTTTAATGCGTTACGAAAATCTTGACAAACCTTATATACCCTTTTTACATTTTTTCGTGTAAAGAGTACAAAAAGAGAGGCCCCTTAGTATGTTGGTAGGGGCCCCTTAGTTAGAATTTGCTTACAGGCCTAAAAAATGTAGTTACGCCACTGGTTAGTTGACTAATGAACACTGACTTTGAGCTTCAAATTTGGCAAGGTACGTGGTCAATCCTCGGTACTTGGAATCTCAAAAAATTAGTAACGAATAATTAAATATAAGAAATAATTGATGGATATTTGGCAATACTGGAACTGTTTGGTCAGCCGTTTGGTGAGCCAAAAATTCAATTAATTAAAACTAATAAAAACAAATTTTTAATAAGTTTTATGGTACTTCTTTTATACTACATTCTAATACTACTACATATATTCGATCTAGTTAACATATTTTTTAATTTTTTTTTGACAGTTCGGTAATAATACTAAAAAAATTCACTCTGAAAATTTTATCTGCTCTTGTTCGATACTATATTTGTTTACGTGTGAGCTTGTGTGTTATATATTCTAACTCAAAGACCGAAACATCTAAGGTAAATTATAAGCTAACGATTGATTGTATGAAGCGTAGTTAAGTCTGAAACCTTTTATTGTAGTATATCAAAAATAACATCGTATATAGTATATAAAAGTCTTTACGCAGATATCTGCACTAGTTAGACTTGGGCTAGATTTTTGTACACAGTTTAGTATTTTCACTAACACATGCAAATGTGTGTAGTAGACGTAGACATAATTCGAAAGTAATTCCTATTTGTTTGCGTCTAGCCAAAGTCTAGCTAGTGTGAACGCCTAGTTAGAGTCTTAAAGTTCACAAATTCACAAAATAGTAAACCAGCATTTGTTTTTTTTTTGTGATGTCGTAAAATTTATGACTCATATGAATGTTAAATGTAAGGCTTTTATAGCATGGAGGGTTCAGAGTTACTGAACAATTTTCAAATATCAAATAATGTTCGAAAAGTCTAACGTCCAAACATGAAACAAATGTTTCGATACTTAAATAATACTTTAAGATGCAATGTTGAGATCTTGCTTAAGCGAAGGGCATTGCTATGCAGATAGTCCAGTGACGAATAATTACGGCAGTTTTACGCTCTATTTGGTCATAATCAAAAGATATGTTAAAGTAGTAATTAAGGCAGGATATTGAGAATTGTAGTGTGATGTTCTGTGTAACATGCTTTTTGGTCATGAACCTAAGAAGCGTAAAATTACCGTGACCATTCGTCATGTGACTGTCTGCATAACTTGGTCCTAAGTAACACTTACGTATTCGATAGTGTACACCAGATAACTGAAATAACTACTTAATATGGCGTTTACACTGACCGCAAATGACTCATTTTAAACCAGTCATTTGAAAGTGTTTACATTCGTTCATATTTATTTGTTCTCATTTCAAACAGCTGATTTGTCAACGTGCCTTGAAAACCTGTGCCAAAAAAATGTTGGATGATGGTAAAATATATCTTTAAACCTTACAATATAAACTGAAAACTTAATTTAAGCTTCGATTAAGTATACTTTTTGGGAAGTAAAAGTTCCAAAAAGAGGTGCATCACTTTCAGGGAAATGTAACTACCAAATATCTGTCACCTTTCTTTGTAAATAGGTCAAAATCAGCTTTTTATGTTAAATGTGTTCACTTGCATTTGGAACTCATTTGAAACTCATTGGAATTTATTTATACAAAATGAGATCCATTGCGCAAGTGTGGATCTCATTTGCGCATATGAGATTTTGTATGCAGAAATCAGTCATTTGTTTTTCTTTAATAATTTTTAAATTAATCATACTCGGTTGATACTCGAACATTTCACTTATTCTTTCATTAATTCTCTTCCTCATATACTCAACTTCTCCTGACTCATAATAAAACTAAAAATATTTATACTGATTTATATTCTTTTGATACTCATCAATAGTTACTTACTTACTGTTGTATTTCTCTTCTAAGTGGAGCATAGGGTCTCGATGTTTCAGTTTCAATCATCTGGATACTTAAACGTGAATGGAGATATAGTTCCGCTGTGGTTTTGATTGATGTTTGTTATGACTATATGTAAATATTAGTCAATGAGTGATGTGTTCAAAGACTATGCTGACCCGCTTTTTTAGTGAGTTCTAGAATGGTTGCTTGTCCTCACCTACTTCCTAGAACGCTATGATGTTTAAAAAGCCATTCAAATTAGCTGGTCTCCCTCCTCCCTTAGCTCCCTCCTCCTTTTTCAACCAGGCTTGGGACTGGCTACGGCGGAGATCTCATTAATAGTTATACTTGGCATAAAAATGTTGCAAGTGATGGAAGAGTCATTCATGAGTATTACATCGCAGTCGGCATTAATATTTTTTCGTGCGCATGTATTCTTGAAGAATATATTAAGAAGAAGATTAAACTGTGAACTCGAAAGATCAGGGTCACTGGTTTTTGGAGCGAAAATGGAAGTCCAAATTTTAATCAAAGAGTTGAAATTAGTATTCTAAATGCACAATTTGGCACGAATCTGATATTCCGAACGTTACCGGTCGATAAATCTCATTATTTAAAATATCGAGGGTTAAAGTTCTGAACTTTTTATATTGGTTACAATAACTAAAGATATAAACGCCATTTAATCCCAACTAGTATATGAAGTTTTTCCATACATAATACATAAAAGAGGTCGTTTAGGTATCACGTTACTGGAGAAAGGAGGAAAGGGGCAGGTCAAAGGGATTGCTTTATCTCTAACGCAATGTGACATAAAGGAAAGAGAAAATGTGATATAAAGAAATATGACAGTGGGTTATGATGCATTTATTTACTACTGTGTGTAGAGTTCATATAAAATTATGAGTAGATCCCTTCACATTGCTAACTCACCCAACGTCTTCTAAACCCAAATCATTGCTGTCAAAGATCGACTGACAGTTCGATTGGTTTCCGAAATGGTTTCCTGGTTTCCACCAACAGTAAAGCTGCAATTCCCTCGCTTTCCAACCAGAGTTCAAAATCAAATCTTGTAAAACAAAACGAAACCCAACTGAGGTCAGTAAATAACCAGAGCATTTTTAACAGAAGAAAAATTTTATCTAAAAAAATAGTATTACATATGAAGAGCTGGGGCCTTAGTTGAGAAAAAATTGCGTTACTTAATAATGACCACTTAATAGAATTTGATACTTATAGTATTACTTGTTCTTAATGGTTTTCATCTGGAAAATGTTGGTTTTACTGCCTGATATCTTAGGAATTAAGCTGCATTGATATATAGGTTAGTGGAAAAAATTGCTCAAAATAGATATCTTTATTAGAATACGTTGTCTTATAGACTTATTTAGAAGAAATGAACATAAGAAATTGCAAAACAAAAGCAAAACACAGAGAAGAATGGAAGGATGTTGTTAAACAGAGTTAGGTTCTATATAGATTGTATAGTAACGGATGATGTCAATGTCTTGTAGACTTATTCAGAAAATCATAAACACATTTTATATAGATAAAAGAAAATGAAGCATCGTTAAATAAAGAGGAGATAAAGTCAAAGAAAAGGTTCCTTAAAATGATGGACTTTCTGGAAATAAGTCTGTTTTGTTTTGGACTTGATTTATTAAATTGATGTTCTAATGGTTTAATGGTTTCTCTCCATTATGTTTAGTCTTTAGTGTTATTAGTTGTGAAAAAAAAAGTTTTGCAATATTTTGCTAATATTATTCTGTTGGAGCATTTTACCAATATTCTTTAAGTATCATTATAATCAGCATTTGTGTTTAAAGAACACGCTTGTAATCTAATCATTGTTATAGATTACGATTAATTTATTCATTGTGGGTAAATATACTATAATATATTGCAATATTCCTACAATGCTTTTAACCACAATGTACGTATTATTTCAATGTTCCATTAATAGCTTCTCTACATAGTCATATGGTTATATTAATTTGAGTATGATTTTATAAAAAAGAATATTTTTTCTGGTACCATAACCGATTTCCAACTAAAGAATCAAAACATGTTAAATTAGTTGCAGTCTTAGAGCTTTTCTCCTGTGACATTTTCCTAAACCTCTAACCATATCTGCTTCTGCTGTTGGTTTAATGGTAGATTCTTGAGTCTTCTTCTGCTTCAAATGTATCACAACATTTAATCCTTATATGCTTTGTCCGCTTCGACACTCTAAACTAGTTCAAACTGTTTCAACACGTTCGAAGGAAAGAAACTTCGACACTCTAAACTACATAAAAACGATAGAAATACTATGTGGATTGATAAGTACCCCCCCTAAGTAATAAAAATAAACTTTTTGGAAAGTTATATATTATGTTGTAATATAGTCTCATTTTAGCTTGACACGCCGAGTCCTACGATCTTTCAATATTTGGATACCTTTTAAATAATACAATTTATCACAAGTCCTCCAAAATATATCTCTGTTTTCCATTTCACTTTATCATTTGATCAATCTTTTTCTCTGGAGCCATTTTTTCAAATTTGGAAATAGGTAATATGAACTGGGAACCAAATCTGGAGAATACGGGGGATGAAGAAGCAATTCGTATTGTGATTCATTTCATTTTGCTATGGTTTTCATTGACGTGTGAGCGGATGTGTTATCCTGCAAAAGATTCTTTTTTTCGAAAAATGTGGTCGTTTTTCTTTTGATTTCCTAATTTAATCAATTTAATAATATGTATTACTTATTTCATATGTTATTGTAGACTTGGTAATTCTATGTACTTTGTGATGCCAGTTTTGTTCATCTTTCATATGATTGATGTGAATCTGTCAGGCATTGTGACCGATTTATGACAGTTAATGACAATGGGTTCTTGAGCTTGAATTACCTTATATCTGCTAATATGAATACCTTATATAACATGAATATACCCTATATCTGCTAAGGCGAAAGTGAAAAGCCTCGTAACAAATTTAAGTAAACTCTGATCATACACTTTCTTTGAGTATAAAAAAGCGGTATTTCATTCTAATTTTTTTTTATGGTCCGAAAATTGTGATATATACGTTTTGATTAAAAATATAAATAATTGAAAAATATTAATTTAATATTATATATATTTAATTTCAATATTATACGGCATGAAACATTTGTCTCAAACTATGATTTTGTACCTCAATTTATAAAATATATATAAGTTAAATTTATGTAGTACCGGATAAGATCGAATAAGGATCGAATATAATCAAAATAAAAGGAAAAAAATAAATAGATAAATAGATTAATAAGTAGATCGTTATATATATTATAACTAAAAAAATGTCATGTTAAAATTCATCATAGCAGAAGAGTACAGCCTATCGAATTATTATCGATGATTAGGCTAAAAGGAAGTTTTATTTCCATTTCGTGTCACATTCTCTGTCGAAAGTCTAAAACGACTAAAGAGTCGAAAACTGAAAAAATTTGTAAAAAATATCCCTAAGGAACCCTTCAAACATATTAGCCAGTTATAAGCCAGTTATAAGGTGATAAGACGTGTTGTTTCCAATACGAGTAGCATTAAAGCCATGATAAGAGCATAAAAGAGAAAATAAGAAATCGGATCTGATCGGATTTTTTGACTCGTAGGAATTTTTCATAGTCAAATCGTTTTATAAAGTCAGACGGAAGGTTGTCTAAATAATCTATTACAATAATAACCAAGAATTTGTTGATTACGAACGTAATATCGCGATGCTAGCAGATTATTTCTATTATAATGTGTTCTACCATTGCATAAAGCCATCATGTTATTTGGTACCCATTATTCTTATTGATCAACTGTTGTATTGACCTGATTTGGCTGCATATAATTTTTGGGTATTCCTCGAAGTGATACTAACATTGGAAGGATATACTACCGACAATTCCAATAAGTACACAAAATATTTACAAAAATTCATTCAATGTTTTCAGCGCTATATAAATAAAAAATCGAATAACAAAACGCTGTATATATATTTTATAACCAGACTCATCAGAACTAGAACCGACTATGTATTTGAGTATAAAACTTTATTTATGAATTTAAAAAAATAGGTTTAGATAATTTCTGACATTTCTATTTATTACTACGATTTTTATGTAATAATTTAATAAAAAAAACTTTTATTTCAGTTTTTCTCTACATATAATCTACAATTATTACGATGGATACAGATCCAACACCAAATCTATTTCTACATTTTGGTCGGCAAAGATTTGCTATTCACAGCTGTTATGGTAAGTAGATGTTCGGTTAAATTCAAAAGGAATATTTTCATTTTAAAGCGACATTTTCGATTTTCAGAGCCGTTGGTGAAAAGTTTTGGTTCTGAAACACCATCACGCATACAACCGTTCGCAACTCCGATGTCTTTATCCGAACGCGATATGATCCAGTTATTCTTAATTCAATTGTGGAAAAAACGATCTCAAAGAATTTTACATGTAATCCATCAATTTAAAGCTGTTAATGCATCAGAGGAGACATCAGAAGGAAGCAGCTTAGTACATTTCCAAGCTTCGGATATACGATTATTTTCGTATAAAGATTTTGACTCCAGTAGCAGCGAGACAAGCGATATGGAAGCTTGGGATGCAGACGATGAAATGGGCTTTACGGAAAGCGAATTGAGTTTAATGCAAAATGAGATAAGTTTAGAGGAATATGAAATGAATTCAATAGAAAATGAGATGATTTTAAAAGAACACGAGAGCAGTGTAAGTGAAAATGACATGAGATTAAAGGAAAATGTAGAGAGTTTAATAGAAAATGAGAAAAGTTTAGAGAGAAATGAAATGAGTGTAAAGGAAATCAAAACTCCTTTCATTTCAGTTCCATCGCATTCAGTGCCACCTAAACGTAAATTCATTTATCGTCACATAATACCGATAATACAGGAAACACGGCGTAGAGGCTGGTTTACGCTTGATAAGTACGGTCTGCGAATACCACACAATTATCCTATAAATTCCAGATTCACAGGTTGGAAGTATACTCTTTATAGTTCAAAAAAAGTTAAAAAACGAAAGCGTAAGTTAAAAAAAATTTAATTTTAAATCAAATCGAATAAAATTTAATGCTGTTGCTCTATTTCAGCTGTATTAACTGCAAACAGATCCATGATAAAAGTATTCTATAACATGGGTTGGTTTGGTACAATCTCCAAGTTTGATATAACAAGTGGTAAATGTTCTTTTAAAGTTTTAATAATAGAAAACGAAAATCTGATGGGAGGAAGAAAAATTCGTTTTTGTTTAGATGAAATGCCGAAAATAAATGGCTTTCGCATAGGTTTCTCGCCTCTTAACTGTCCAATATTATTGGGCGAAGCATGGAATTCGTTTGCATTTTGTGAATCAGGATGTTTGGCAAACAATTCAAATTATTCCGATTATGGTCTGTCCTATGGAGCTAATGATGTCATTACTTGTACATTAGATTTAAGTGTAAAACCATGCACCATAAAATATGCGGTGAACGGCTTAAATTTAGGTGTGGCCTTTAGTTTTAACAAAGATGAAGTTATTGGCAAATATGGACTAGTACCTCACATTGTCTCCAGAAACTATGAGTTTCAAGTTAATTTCAGTAGTGAAGGACATAGATGGGGTCGTTTTAATGAAATAGATTTGGGAAGCTCAAGATTGATTTACAAACTTTATGAATCAAGATTTTGCAATAATCTAGTAAAATATGATGGTGATAATGAAAATGAGAAGAATGAAGAGACTGAAAAGAAAAATGTAGACACAGCTGAATAAAAATTGTTAATATATATATATAGATATAATGTATATATATATAAATATATATATGTGTTAAACATATATATATATTTATATATATATATATATATATATATATATATATATATATTTATATTTAGCATATATTGATATATATATATATATATATATGTATATACATATGTTTAATATATATTTCTATGTATATATATATATATATAAATACATACTAAACATATATATATATATGTTTATTTATTTTATATATATATATGTATTTATATAACATATATATAAGTATTTATTATATTTACAACATATATTTTATATTAAATATATTAGCAAAAGTAATTTAATTTATATTTTTTAGAAAACTCTTTAGCATGTTTTAACTATAGTAATTATTGAAAAATTTTCTAAAAAATAATAAAAAAAAGACATTCGTATGACTTTCCTTGATTTTTGCTTATAATTTTATTGTAAGTTTTCGTTTCTTAGTGTGTTTTAATTACCTCATGTTAATTACCTCAATTACCTCATGATCTTCAAAACAAAATTTGAAGAGATCGCAGGCTATGTGGGCACCTTGTTTAAAGTCTTTCTCATCGAAAGTTGAGAATGGTTTGATTCTGCCTTGAATTTGCAGTAAGACTGTAGAAGTCGAAAACCAAATGTTAGATTTTGAAGTCAACTCACTCTTTAGATGTCACCCTTTTATGTTATTTTCTAGCATAAATATTGAGGAATTGCAAATTGGTTTTGAAAGTGTTTCAAAAATTGATTTCATAATACTATATTTAACTAGATATGTTTAGCTTATGTGGCAGCCCATCAACGAATACAAATGATTTAGAAGACATAACTCTTTCGAAATACTTGCAATGTGCTTGCGAAGATCATCGAAGACGAACAGGAATATCGCAAAGCACAAAATATCGATACTACAGATTTTGAAAAACTTAAAACTCGTTTTGGACTGGAAACTTCGACTCCGCACAGACATGTCAAAAATGACTCGAAGGAGTCCGTCAAGCATGTCAGTCACTGTAACTAGTAATAAAATGTCATATTTCCAATACGAACCTAAAGTCACAGAAATGCCAAAAGAGAGAAAATGAGAAAATCACACGTTCAGCAGACAAAAGGCACAGAAGAGCTTGAAACGGCTTTCTCAGTAATAGAAATTTCAAGTGTTAAAGAAATACATATGATATGACATATTAAAGGATATTGCGTAAGAACTGTGCCATCAGGAAGCTGATATATAACCAAATAATTCGTCTGTCACTTCTATATGGATGTGTAGCATTAAGCAAAGCTTCAAACACTACTATTCGCCGGCTAGAAATTGCACAAAGCCAGACTCTGAAAAGACTTTTCAAGGTACCATGGTACATTAGGATAAATGACATTCTCAGTGACCTCAAGATTGATTCGATCAAAAAATACATAAAGAATAGAGCCCTGAAATTATTTGCGAAAACTGATAGACTTCCTAACACCGCGTTACCGAATCTCAGAATGATTACAGGCTCCGCGGGAAGGTATGCAGATTTAAGGATAATTATTGCTTAGTCTAATGAAGTGATAAACATTAATCTAGTCAAGGCATAAAGAGGAGTTTTGAAGAGTTAATAAAGAGTAAAAGTGCTCAAGTGTACTGACTCAACTAGCCTCAACATAAATAAATAAATCAACATAACTGATAATCCAATAACTTTTGTTCTTTCCTTGATTTTTAATTTCAAAGACAGTAACTTGGAATTATTTCTTCTCTATTTGAAATGACATATAAAGAAATATAAAACTAACAAGCCTCACAATTAATATAAATTCAAGCTTAACGTTTGATCTGTGAGAGTCATATAAACATATTTTGTTCATTCAATACATATTAAAAACATGATATTTATGTTTACTATCTCTCAGCTTTTACATATCAGAGTGCTCATTTATAGCAATATCCTTAAAACTGAAGTCTAAGGCATTTGTAAGGGTAATGTTATTTTATTTCACTTATTATAATTAATTACAAAGTATAAAATCTTGTGACTTAGATAGGAAAACCGAGCACTAGTTACTAGGGCTTTAAGCTTGATGTAAGGGAATTGTCTCATTATTTAGTGGGTTTTGTGTTCATATAATAAAAACTGTCTTAAAAACAACCATTCTGGAGATACTTAATAGCATCTTTTTGGCAGATCAGGGATAATTGATTAGTAGTATTCACTATAAAATGAACTCACTATTAAAAAGAAGATATTACTAAAAAGTGCTTTGGTACTTATTAGACAAATCCCCTGTCTTATTTCAAATATAACATAATATACGTATCCAAACAAAACTTGATAAACTCGGATAATGAAATACTTATAAAATTCGTCTGTCTGTCCATTGGCTGGATTTTGATTGAAAATTTGATTTCCTTTAATAACTTACATCTCAATGACTCAAACTGTTATTTGAAAATTAAACCTATACATAATTGACTAGAATACAAACATTGTTTTATTTCATATATAGGAAAATAATGCACTTTTGGAAGTGAAAACTAAAGATTACAGAATCTTACAGAATTTTTCTTCTATATTAAAGAACTTCATTCATAAGAATCTTCGCAACTTATGTGGTACATATGATATTATTTGGTGCTTAATAAATGTAGCTAATTAATAGTTCTCTAACTAAAGTCCTTACGAATATTATATATGTCATGATAACCTCTACAGATTATATTATTGATTTACATACATATATATGTATATTAGGGTTTGACGAAAAATGTTTCTGCTCCTTGTGATCAGATTGATTATATCCCACTTATTTGTACTCGGATATAAACAGAGGTCTATAAAATAGTAGTGCAAATCTAATAAAGTCAATAATTATTATCAGTTATATAGTCTATGAAGAGGAGGAAGTTTAAAAAAAAGTAACAATAGTTTGATTTTGATTTAGTTACTTAGAAATTAAGACTTAAGACTACATGATAAAATCCATATAGACTTACTTTCGGACTCCTGAGTCACGCCCTTTTTACATTAGTTCAACACATTTTTGAGTGCAAGAAAAAATTTCAAAAAAGTTGTTTTGTAAATTTTTTTTTATAAAACCTCGACGAAAAATAGGCACTTTTAACAGTCTATATCTCTGAAACCTTTCCAGATAATTCAAAATTATTATGATATATGAGTTGATCATTTTAATATTATATATAATTGACATATGTTTGATATTAAGAAATAATTAAAAACTTTGCGGTGTTTGCTGTGGTTAGGTGACACGCCTTAAAATCAATTTTTTTTAAATTTCTTCACATCTTCTTCCTTGTCACTAGGTACTAGAAAAAGATATAACCAAGCTAATTAGAAAAATAATATAATAAATAATAAAAATAATATTAATAATATTTAAATATATCTGTATTTATATAAAGCTCTCTTATATATCTTAATATATATATTTATACTTGGTTCACACACAGACAAAAAATTGAAAAAATTATCCGTAACAGTGTGAATATCTGTAAGTACTGTTTTCTTACCACACCGATTATCGGACCGGAACCTTTCTATTGACTAGAACACAGTACTCTCCTTTCTCTCATAAAAATCAAGGCGAACCATAAAAAAAGGAATTAATGCGATAATATAACAGGATTAACACAATCCAAATCACTTATCGGTACCTATGACAATAAAAGATACCAAGACTGTATGAACCCATTAAATGAAAAAGTTAGAATCATCATAGGAATCTTAACATGGCACTGTAAACTAAAATACCACCTTATAAGACTGGATATACATACGTAAGCAAACAGTAGATTCTGTGAAAAGAATGTGGAGTCGGTCAAACATGTGCTGTTAGATTGCCCTGCACATACGGAATAGACTCCTGGGAATGTGTATTCTTACGGAAGAGGCAATAAAATTGTGTAAAGTAGGTTCTATATTACTTTTTATTGCCGCTACAGGGTTAGGAGTAGGTCTCTCCAAACACAGAAGTGGGTACAATAGACCCAATGGTCATGGTGTCACATCCCCTAACAATAATAACCTTATATTAAAACTTAAATTCAATTAAGAAATTTTATAGCTTCTGTAATTGCGTATAGACATACATATTAAAATATTATCAAACTTTAGCACTTTAATGTTTTAGTGTTTTAGTACAGCACTTTAATTAGGATGGTATTGCTTGTAGATTAATGAATAAGGATGATTAACGAAAATGCAAGAAATGTTTATGCCCAAATTAAAGGACTCTATGTATAAGACTTTAAGAGTAATGACTGGATGATGAATTTTCAAAAGAGATATGAGATTTGCTTCACAAAAAAAAAAATAATAATACGAAATTGCAAGGCCAATATGTCTTAATAGAACTATTCAAAAAAAGAACTTTAAGATAAAATAATGAAAGCAAAACAAATAAATAATTAAAAATTAAATAATTAATTAACTACGATAAATTTGAATTTTACTAGAAAATATTCCCATTGAAACCACTTGTGTCCCTGATAGAAAAATATGTCAGTTGTAGAAAATCAGAAAATCATCGTGTTTTTCTTATGGTTTGGTACAAATGCTTCTGGTTTCTAGAAACTAAAATTATTTATTATTGAAAATTAGAAAATCCGCTTGTTTTCAATAATCTTAATTGCTCTGACAAGCTCTCAATCATGGATGATCAGCTGGATTTTTAAAATTTTTAGCATGTGTTACACAAGTAAAAAATCACTAAGTTGAGCTAATTGTAGCTAATAATTATTTTATGCTTTAGTATTTTGTCTCTTTTTTTTGAATAGAAAGACTTACTTATTAAGTAGTTTTTTTTCTGATTAACAATTCTTCTTCAAACCCTAATCAAAGAGAGTTAATACAGCCAGAGAGAGTTAATCCTGCATTCTCCTAAGTACTTAAATTCTTGGGCTCAAATTAATTATGCCAGAAATAATTGAATCATACTCGTGTATATGTCTAGAATAAAGATAAAATCTTCCTATACCTTCT